CCAAGGATTCCAGCGGTTGGACGAAACGCAAAGGAGTCTCCTGTTGTATTGGTTGTTCTGGAATCTGCCGGGGCTCGGGCCTCAGGAGGCAGGTTGTTTTTATGCCGGTATCTGAAGGCTGGTCACTCAGGAAGGCCTGACACGTAACTTCTTGAATTTGCGTCGTATCGAGTCTGGTTATGACCATCCTGCTTTGCGTTGGACTTACGAGTTCGATCTGAACTTCCCGCGGACGGACGTCCGGTGGCATGAGGTCGATATTCGTACCGTTCACATACCAACAAAATATTGGAGCAACAGGAGTTGGTGAAACGGCTACTTCGAGATTTAAAACTGACTGCGATCTCGAAATAGTCTGGATTTCGGGCAGCGTCTGGATGAAACGTAATGGCAGGGTGAAATCGGTAGTCTCAGGCGAGCCTAATTCTGGGCTGGGCACCACCTGCATTTGAAGGATAGTCGTTGAAACGACTGAGGCACCATCAGGTGTCTGGGCTGCAACGGAGACCTCTCCTGGAAGCATTGCTGACGGAACCACCTGGATGGTCATGGTACTCCGATTGACCTCCTCGAGAATGACAAAATTGGGCGAGGTCTTCTCGATCTCCAGGCCGTTGACGTACCAACTGAAGGTCACTGGTGCAATCGCGTCAACCTCACATTCAAGAGTTGTTGAGTAGCCCGGCTGGGCGGTGACCTTTTCCGGCAGAGGTCGTGAGAAGTGGATTGGTACAGCTTGAGTCGACTGTGGTCCTACGGTTATTGTCGTTTTGCAGGCAGTAACACCTAGTTCGTTCTCTGCGCGAACAATGTACTCGCCGGCATCCGAGGGATTCAAATTGTGTATGTAGACAATGTGCCTGTCCTCAGGTTGCTCAACGACGAGTTCGTACTTGCTAGTTTGTTGCGGAGAGGGGACCTGCTTGGGAATGATTTCAACGTCCTTGTGGAACCAACGTATTTCAGGCTTAGGTTGTCCTTTAACAGCACAATCGAGTCTACAAAGGACGACAAAAAGGGGCACATTAGGAAGCACTAAACAGGGAGATTTAAACTGCAAAGAGTACTCATCTACTGTTCAACTCTATGCAGTAGTTGCATGCTCTTATCAGATTTCAATGAAGTATATAATAATCAGGGTTTTGTACGCTGTCAGGCTCCAGAGAGCTCTCTCTCTCTCTCTTGAAACCTTCGCATTAATTAACATTTATAGTTAGCTTTTGTCTGTTCTGTACGGGATAAGTCCTAACTGTGGAGTTCAAGATCTAACATAGCAATTTCGCTTCCGGC